GGCTTCCATTATTTTTAGCCTTTTTATGCATGTAGACGAGGCTATTATACTTGTGTTGTCAACAAGTGTGGTACAAATAAGGTCTGGTAGATCTCTATAAGTATCTAAATGAAACCTAATTGAGCTATAGTCAGAAAAGTGAAGTGTGAGTTTTCATGTCAAACATGTTGTAGTATGGCTGATATAAATATTTATGAATTTGGATTGATCAGGAATACAATTCCTTAATGGAATTTATATACATTTAGTATAATCAGGAAGCAACTGTTCTATGCGGCCTATATTACAAATATGCTGAGTGAGCCGACAGTTAAAATTTCTGGGGGAGAGAGAGCACATCTGACAGGATCCAAAGTTTGAATAGGACAGTATACTCAAACCCTCGGTTATGAGGACTCAAGCTAGCACCACCATTGACAAACGGTTCCATCTCTCCAACTTCACTTGCAAGGTTTAGGGTCAACCCATGGTTATTTTTAGGCTGTTTTCAATGATGCTACATGCTCGGATCAACTCTCCAGGCTGATAACATCAAGAAATCACCTTGCTGACAAGTCAATGATGTGAGATTTAAACCTGGGTCTCGTGGTCAGAAAGCAAATGTTCTAACTACTTGGCCACATGCTCATTGTTTATACAAATAAGAAATATATAACAAAGATTATATTTCCTCCCAAATTTGGTCATCTATAATTGTGGAAGATAATGTATTTAAGGGAAGCTGTCTTTTAATTGTAATGATTTTATTATCAAATGGCTTGTTAATTTTAAAGCCTCCAAAACAAAACTGTTCTCTATTAAGCATCTGAGAGACCCCTTTCTGCTTTTGATCAGTATGGCTAATGCTAACCTCCTGGAGAGTGACTTGTTGTGCCTTCTTGAGTGAAGGTTATCTGCTGATATGAATTGGAAAGATTATATCAAATCAATTGCTAAGTCTGCTGCTAGACAAATTTTCTGTGTTGGGCTAGACAATTTTTCTCACCAGAATCTATCATATATTTATATATCTACCATTCATCCATGATATGCATATTGCTGTCACATATGGTCTGGTGTTTGTGCTATATATTTAGACATCCTTAATAAAATCCAAATAAGAATCTGCAATGTTACTGGTCCTGACCTGGCATCTTAGCTTCCATCATGTTTCTACCATTGTAATGTAGCTTCCCTGTGGCTTTTCAATAAATATTTTCATTGTAAATGTTTGGATGAACCTGGCAACAAAGTCTCATTATTTTACAGTTGAATTGTCTTGATGTAACTGTTAGTTCTATTCTAAAAGTTACAACATTGATCTTCAAAAGTTTGTTTTCTTGATTCTCGCTGTTTAATAATGGTTTTATTTTTCTTATTCTTTCACACTCAATAAACCCTTGTATCTTAGTGGCTTTATGGCCTTGATTAAAAAAATAGGATATTAAAAGTAATAATGACTAAAATTTGTGTACTTTGTTTTGTTATTCTACTTCATTATTATTATTATTGTGGGTGTGTAGGAGTGAGAGAGAGAGAAAATAAACAAAAAACCATTACACACAGATAAAATAACCAGATATCAGATTTGGTGTGGGGAGTGTGATTTTTTATTGGTCAAACTGAGAACCTTTTGGTGCCTACCCATACTGAAGTATTTTCTTATTATTTGTTGGGTATCTGCTAACAAGGATGGAAAGAAAAATCAGCTGCACGGGAATCAAACACTAAAGGTGTTGAACACTGTATCATGATGGGCAGAGTAAGAACAAGATGTCTACACAGGAACACCACATGTATATGGGATGAATGCAGCAGAGACACTGGAAACACAAACAAGAATGAAAGAATTCAAAAGGACATTGGGTAACATAGACAGAAATCCTTGTTAACACATGGTGATCATGTTGTACGGTCAACACGGCACACTGTCTCCCATAGCCTCTTCCCAGAAAATATGCCTGATTTTATGGAGGCTAAAACTTTAGCAAAAGAAATTATTTGTATAACCAACACTGTTCAGCTTACAGTCATAATTATTTTATGGAGAAACTGCCAGACATCCTGAGGTTCACACTGGTTCTGTTCCGGCAGGGCAGCCATTTACTTACTTTCTGTAGAGACAGCACACTAAACATTGTGTCTGTCTGGATTTTGTTTCCGCCACAAATACAAGAGGAACAAATTGTGATAGAGAGTAGCAAGAGTGATAATAGGAAAAAGAAAGTTTGAAAGAAAAAGGAAGAGAAATGAAGAAATAAGTAGAAAGAGAAAAAAAAAAGGTAAACTAGAAAATCAGATTGATTGAGGAGTAAAGAGAAAAAGAGAAAGAGATGGTGAAATAAAATGTGAATTGTTGATGAGAACACCTGCACAGACAAATAATACAGTGAAACCTGTTGCCATTATGTGTAATACTAGATACAAACTTAGCTGCAAAGTCAGTTGGCTGAAGCAACAGCTGCAGAATATCATATGGTCATAAAGCCAGTGTTCTGGAGATTGAAGGTAAGAAAAAAAATCATAAGGGGACAAAAAAAAGATAGGCAAGAAAAATAAGTTTGGTGAAGGAAATTATAGTGAGAGAAATAAAAGAAAAGAGAAAGAACATAGAAGAGATTAAAGATTGACAAATATGAGAGAGAGAGAGAGAGAGAGAGAGAAAAAATAAAGAAAAAGAAAAGAAATGATAAAGAAAATGAGAGATAGAAGAAATAAAAGTGGGAAGAGTAAGGGTTAAAAATATAGAAAAGCGCAAAAAATGATGAAAAATAAATAGTTTGAGAGAAAGAAAGAATATAAAGGAAGAGAGAAGAAGTGAAAAATGAATGAATGTGAAAGAAAAAGTAAAAAGAAGAATAAAGAATAAATGAACATAGTTATTTTTGCCTTACTATATATATATATATATATATTATAAATTAATTGATTTAAAATATGTTTTTTTCCACTACACAGTTCTAACCATGTTTCAAAAATGGAAGCTAAAAGCCCCAAATTTAATTTTGTAATTAAATTAAAGACATTAGTTCCATTTCATCCTCAAGTGAATTTTGGAGTAACTTTTAAAATCACTGGGTTTTAAATACACAGCTAAAACAAAATTCACGTTTCCAAGGTTACAGATAAATCTATTTTTCTAGACAGGGGTGTCTAGGTGTTCAATATGTCTATATAACAATAACTGATACATTAAAAACTAGGTTGGCAGTGACTGGCCACTAGTATCAGTTTTATGTGCTTGTACACAATCATCAGGCAGCCAGTGGCTGTAGTAGTAAGGTGAGTACCCTATATACCACTTCGTGAGTTCAATTTAACAAACAAACCAAACCCGCCCAGTCCAGCCAAGATTTAAAATTAAAGAAAAAAAAAAACAAGAAAAAAAACTTCCACCTAGAAAGTTTCACTTGTTATTGAGCACTTTTTTGTCAAAATTCCTCAACTTTATTAATAAACATTTTCCCAACACCAGTCTGCTTAGTAAAATATTTAATAAAAATAAACTGAAATTAAGCTACTGCTGTGCGGACAACATTGAGAGAATCATTAAAAATCAGTAATATAACAAATTTAAAAATTCAAAAAGCAAGACATATAGCAATAGTGTAGTAAATGATAATAATACTAATAACAGCAGATGTAACTGTAGGAATTCCAATGACTGCCCACTACAAAATAATTGCTTAGCTAGTTCCCTGGTTTATTTTAGTACTAATTCTACACTCAAAAACCCAAGTATTAAAAAATTCTACATTGGAAGCACTAAAAACTCATTTAAAACCAGATGGTATCAACATGTACTATCCTTTAAAAATAGTACTTCACTGTCAAAGTACCTTTGGATTTTAAAAGAGAAAATAAAACTTACAGTTAAATGGAAACTACTTAGTAGGGCTTGAACTTGTAATTCTCTATATGCACTATGTTATCTTTGTCTCAATGAAAAATTGGAAATTAGATGTAAGGAAAGGATTAATCTCTTAAACTAAAGGAATGAACTTATGTTAACTGTAGACATAATTCACTCTTTACCTTGCAACATAAGTAATAATGTTATGAATGATAATATAATAGTATTGTAAGTTAGTAATATTATTATTATTTATTGGTTCTTTATTTATTTATATTTATGTTTTTTGCAACCTGACTGGCAACTTTAATTATAACCTACCCTTATTTGCTACTAGTGTTTTAATCTGACATAGTTAATTTGATATTAAATATTTGTGACTGTTTATGCATTAATTTTACATGGACTCAGAATTTGTTATTATTATCTATGCATACATGTGTGTATGTATATATGTATGTGTGATTGTTTCTATATCTGTTTATATATGTGTGTCTGCGTGTTGGTATGTATATGTGATATGCATATATGCATACAGGTGTAAGTGCATGTGTGTGTATATATATATATATAAATACATATATTGGTGTATATGTGGGTATCTGTATATACTTGTATATGTTTATTTATATTTGTATATATGTGGGTGTTTTATTTGTATGTTTGTGGGCGTATTTTGTTTGCACATGTGAGTTTGGTTGTTCATATTTATGTATGTGTACGTATATATGTCTTTTTCTTTGCTTTGTCTAGAGCCTAATATGTGTATTTCAACTAAGTGTATATATGCATGTATATGCACTTCTTACTTTTATTTGATCTTTTTTTATGTTTGTGTATGTAAAATATTGATGGTTGGTTTGTGTAGATTTATTAGTGTATTTATGGTTGAGTTTGGGTGTCTGATTATTCATATATTTGTAGGTGTGTGTGATTGCTTGTATATGCTTTTTTTATATATACATATGTCTGACATAATTTTCTTATGTGGTTTTTTTTTATATATATATATATATATATATATATATATATATATATATATATATATATATTTTTTCTTCTTATTTTTTCTTTATTTTTATCTTTGGAATTATCCCTTCCTCTATTTCCTGTGTGAATATACGTCCTTGTATTTGCATGCTCATATATTTGCTTATATATATGTGTTTGTGTATTATGATGTGAATGTTTGTTCTGTTGTTTGAAAATTTCCTTCCTTATCTACTTCCTTATTTGAATTCAGACTTCCATGTATTAAAAATGTCTACTGATCATAGATACTTCTTATATCAGCATCAAACTTATCTGATAAATTAGCATTTCACTAAGAACAATAAAATATATTTTATTCCTAGTTTAATTTCTGAATAATCTTGAAATAATATTAAATTTGTTGCTTGGTTCACTTCAGAATTTGACATTTGAAGTTTTAAATTTAGCTGTTAACTTAAAATTAATTTTTTATATTGATTTCTAATTTAATCTAATCTTAACTTTATTGCACTAATTGATTTTACTTATACCAGAGTATGTTGTTATGTTATTTTAAATTACCATATACTTGTATTCTGATTGGTCATGACAAGTTATGTAACAAAGTTTCCCCTACTGAGGGGGTTTAGTTGGTTTTTTAACTCTTAAAACTGTTTATTTTCTATTCAACATTATCACTTGACAAGACACTTGAAGTGTTGAAACAAAATTGCAAATTTTGTAGTGATTTTATAGCATGCATATATTATAAATTTGAGTATATATATATATATATATATAGGGATCCAGAAACTGTTTCACTGTATCACAGCTCATCAATGTAGCTAGACATTTGATCATTTCAAGCTAGGACTGAAACCTGACTGATTTGGTATAAGTAGGAGATTCTAATCGCTAGGCTATTGATGCCTGGCAGAGAGAAAGGTGAATTCTTATGTATTTATTTTTTCATAAACACACTAGTGATCTAGAGAACTCAATCCAGCTTGAATAGTCTTGGATATACAATATATATATATATATATATATATATATATATATATATATAAATATATATATATATATATGTATGTATGTAGATGTATCTACTGTCTTCTTAATTCTTGTTCTTTGAATTGTTTTTTCTTATTAACAGTGTTTTTTTCTCATATATTCGCTCAGTAACTCTCATTGCATCTTACTTGAGGTGAAATAATAATTTATATATATATTCTCCCGTTGAATCGACGTATGAGGATCAAGCAGGAAACTGACAGCCAGACACCAACACATAAGATTTGATTACAGTAGTGAAGGTTTTGTGAGGAACCATCCACACTTTCTGAAGGACCGAATACAGAGACTTGGTGCACTACATGCCACAGGGTCCCCAAACGATCCTCCGCAGGTTTTGAATCCAGAGTTGTCCTTTTGCTAGACTAGTTGCCATCCAAGGCTATAGAACCCAGTCTGTCCTGCTATTTACCCATAGCTGGAGGGAGAAGAGGATTCACACCTTCCCGCGGGTGTTAGCACATAAGTGAATGTAATGGATTCAACTGGAATTCGAACTCAGCATTCCTATTCCTCAATCCAAGCCACTATCCATTACTCCACCGTGCCTCCAAATATATATATATGAGATAACAGTATATATTTTTATATATCAAGAACAGTAAACTAGATTTGTTATATTTATTATGCTGGTGTGGCTACACATGCACATAAATGAAGGATGGTGGGAATTTAAAATTAAATTTTTTTGTTTTTATCTAGCTGCTTTTATTTACAGTCTTTTTTTTGTCATAACTTTTGTTACTAGATATCCCACACTGTGATAATAGAAAGTTCTGCCAGGAATGGTGCAATGTTTTAAGAGCCAGGATGCAACTATATGTGTGTGTGATGATTGTCACTTCTTTGCAGAAGAAGACCATCTCTTCACTTGGTAGATTTTTTGTGTTTTTCATTCAAAATTTTTTTATTCCCATCATCATTACCTCAAGCTAATGCTCTGCTATGGGCCATAAGTGATCCTTATGGCCAGCTTCACTTTTACAACCTCTCTTACAAATGTAGCAAGCATATAGTTTGTCTGTGTTATCTATGTTGGAAACTTGCCTGTCCCTGTGTACAACCATGTGATGTGTGAGTTCTGGTAACAGACTTACAAACCTTGTCACAAAACTCACAAAAGTAACCTGCAGGTTTTTCTGGTAGGGTTGCATTCACAGGAGTTTGCCCCTGACCTCTCTGGTGTGATTGCATCTGACTGGCTAAACCATGTTCTGAAAGGCTGACTTTTCCAAAAATACTGCAAGTGTATTGGTGTCCTAATAGCTCTAGGACAGATTCTAGTTCTCCCTTCCTAATAGTGCACTTTTTGTTGGTATACTCAATGCTCTTCCTCTCAAAACTGTTGCTGCATTCTCAAATCAATCTTCTTCAGCCATATCTATCTCTAGTGATAGTTTCCCAGTTGTCCACTGTTACATTCCATGCTAATAGGAATATATACTTGAAAAAAAAACAAAAAAAACAACAGTGGATAAAATAAGTAAAGGTTTATTGTAAAAACCAATACAATAAGAATAAAGGTAACAGTTATGCACAAGGTCATTGCAAGTCAATCCAGTAGTTAGTGCTACTATTGGAAGGTTGGTAGTTCTTGCATAAGTCTGAGTTATACTCAGCAGATCCCAGCTAGACTTTGTAGTCCATTGACTTACAGATACTCATAGGTAGTTACTACCTATAGTGTAGTCACTCATTGGGGTGACAAGTTATTCGATTACATCATCAACATTAACACCAAGAGTCTTTAGGTTACATTTAACTATATCTTTGAAACGTTTTTTTTATTATGAGTGGGTCATTTAACTTGACCAGCTCACCATAAACAAGTCTTTTAGGCAATCTGTCATCCTCCATACATATTAGGTGACTTGGCCAGAGAAGCAGTTTCTCTATGCTGGCTATATTTGTGTGCTTTTGGAATTTTGTATCTGGGGTAAAAGCTTGTCAATTGATGTCCAAGATTCATCTGAGGGACTGCTGGTGAAAATGGTCTAAGACCTTAATGTGCCTTTGATATGTGATTCCTGATTCAGATGAATTTAAACGTGTGTTTTACAGATGCCGATCTTTTGGCTAGAGGAGATATAATCAGACCATACTCTCTTTTCAAGTTTTCTAAATGCTTTACTTTCTTGTACAATGCAGTAATTCACTTCTGCATCCAGTGATCCATCCCTAGAGAGTGCACTGCTTAAGTATAAAAAGTGTTAACTAACTCCAGCCTGTAGCCAGGAAGGAAAATGTAGGGCTCTATGTAAGGCGGTCCAGGTCGAAGCATATACATGATTTTTTCAGACTGAGGGCCAGCTCAAAAGCAGTACAAGTCCCTGAGAAATGGTCCATTATCACCTGCATGTCATCTTCACTTTGAGTATCAAGATCAGCATCATCAGCATACAGGAGTTCATGAATAACCAGTTGGAAAACCTTAGATTGTGCATTGAATTGTCTTCGATCAAAAGCCTTCCCTTTCGTTCTGAAATTAAGATAAACACTAGCATGACGGTTTTGAAAAGCTTCAACTAAAGTTAGAGCAGAATAGATGATAAAGAGAGTAGAAGCAAGAATATCAGCTTGCTTTATTCCATTATCAATTGTAAAAGGCTCTGACAGTGTACTATTATAATTAAATCTGCCCTTCATATTGCTGTGCAATTCTCAAAAGAATTTAAATTCTGGTAGACATCCTAATTTGCTTAAAATAAGGGCATCTCTATTAATAGTATCAGAGGCCTTTGTTAAGTAAACAAACACTTGATATAGGGGAACACAATAGTCAATGCACTTCTCCTGCAGTTGATGAGCTGAAAATATATTTATAGTTCCCCATCCAGACCTACATCTACTGACTTTCTGATATAATCAAAGAACAGATCCATTTTACAAGGCATTTATACAGAATTTTCACAAAAACTTTTCCAACTGTCTCAAGTAGACTTATTCTACTACTTTACTCTATTTCCTAATTGACAATTCATAGATCATAAAGAAAAGTTATATGTGGAGAGCTATAATTGCCATTCTAAATGGGCATAGCATTTGAAGTGTGTATATATATATATATATATATATATACACACACACACACACATATATATATGTGTATACACATATACATATGTAATTATTTCTTAAATATGTTAATAAAAATAGATTTAAAATTATTCCTATCTCTCCCTTCCCTCTCTGTTTTCGACCATGTCTGTCATACTCCTCCTCCTCTCTTTATATCACTTTACATCGACTTAAAACTACCCCTCAAAAGTGGATAAAAACTATATGTAAATTTAAAACATTTCTTTCACCCTTGGAAGTGCTGTCTGATGAACTGGGTAAAAACCATATACCTGGGGAAATAAATTATAACTAATGGATCCTTAAGGTCATCTGTTTTCTATTTAAATTGAATTAATATATAATTACATATGTATATACATATATAATTAACATATGGCTAGGTGCCTCTGTACATCAAGACTTAGTTGATGTGATACTCATTTCTCTCTATTTTGCCTTTAAAACAAATCATTAGATTTAGACATTTTTTAAAAATATGTATTGGAATCTCCATTTATCATGTGATCACCCCAAATAAGACTTTGCATACAAATTATAAGTACGATAATCATTTTTTTTTTTAATTATTTCACCCCAAACAAGGTGGAAATGACTCTAGTACACAGGGGCTTACAGAGAGTGAAAGTGAGAAAAACGATGGAGTATAGGGAGGACTGAGGAAAGGACAAAAGATGAACAGGTTTCAAAAAGACTGAAAATGGTGATTGACATTGCATTTAAATTTCTGAAGATTGTATTGATCAGGGAAGCAAGTAAATGGAAGGGAATTCCACAGGCGAGACGTATGAGAAAAGAAACTGTTGGAGCAGAAGTGGCAGTTGCATTTAGCTATTTCTACAGTAAACGGGTGGGATTTTGGCATCATCATTGATAATATTCTTGTAGGAATCTATGGCGAAAGCACAGGTTGTTTTTATCATACTTTCTGAAACAACAATAAAATAATCAATTCTTGTTATCTAGTCTGGATATTCTATGACAAGATCTTCTATAGCAGCATGCAGAATATGTCAAAATTTCCTAACAGACAGCCAAAATAGAACTTTGGTAGCCAAACCACCAGCAAGCTGCAAAATTCAGTTTAATTAAAATGATATCTATTATTTTGATTAGCAAGCTTCTAGGAGCTGCCAGTGATCCCAGTATAGATAGCATTCTTAAAAACACTTTCTCCACTCATGGCAGAATTCACTACTCACATGACTGAAGAATTTCATTCAGTGTGCATTTTCATGGGCTGAGAGATTGGCAATTTTAATGATTCATGATCTCTAGAAAGCATGCTAACTAAAGATGCAGAACCAAGACTGATATTTAACCCTTGGGAAAAGAATGAATCTCCATCTCTCCACCCACTATCAGCTATGGAGTGAGAGGAGATTGATTCAATCCTTTCTCAAGGTTATTAGTGCATAAGTGAATGTAATGGACTTGGCTTGCTAATTTCTAATTCAAAACTGAAATCCACCATACTCATCTCCAAATTGGCATCAGCTGTTTGGTGGATTTTGATTTTGTATGCCTTCCAAAAGCAAAATATTAAGAAACAAAAAAAAAATCTGTTAGAAACAAAGAAAACAGTACTGAACTGTTATGCAATATCAGTCTTCCTATATGGCAGTGAATGCTGGACAATCTCCTCACAGATGAAGAAGAGACTTGAAGCAACAGAAATGATTTTCTACAAAAAATGCTGAGAATATCGTAGACCAAACACGAGCTACAATAAAGTTTTAGAGAAAATGGAAACAAAAAGGAAAATTATACTTAACATCAGAAAAAGATAGCTGAAATATCTAGGGCACATAATGAGGAAAGAGGGCTTGGAAAATTTGATAGTCACAAGACATACTGAAAGCAAAAGGTATGGCAGAAAACAATACATAACCTACCTAGCAAATGGATGGCAGAACAGGGATTAGGAGAGATAACAAAATTTATTAAGAGCTACAAAGGACAAGAAATTGTGGAGAGCCATGATCATTCCCATCCTGAAAGGACATGGTACAAAAAAAGAAGGTGCATAAGGGAAAGAATAGATGAAATGATGCTCTGAAAGTAATGCCTCTTATTTATTTCCACAGAGACTACAAGAGATACAGAAAGTACAACAGAAACACAATAACACTGTTAAACAGAAAACATTTTCTGCTATAAAACACTAATTTTCAATAGAGTCATAACCATTGGGGAAATATTTTTGCCTTTAATGATTAAGAACTAGTTTTATGGCAAATGGGATGTAGCTTGTTACCATAGCTGATACACATTACCCAACACATAATTATGCATTTATCCACTGTTTAGTCTCTATAAATATTAAAGAACAAAAATTTGTTTATAAGCACTTTCATGTCAGATTCCATTTTACCAGACTGGAACATGAGGAAGAACCAAGATCTACTGCCAAATCAACAAGATCTGAATCTGACATCAAAGGTTAATATTATAAAATAGGCTCAGACAAAGTCTTTTTGATTTGAATTCATCTTAATCTTTCGCTTAACAAAAAGACCAAATTTATTAAGAGCTACAAATCACAGGAAATTGTGGAGAACCATGATAGCCAAAATCATGAAGGGATACAACATATAAAAGCAGCAGCAGCTGACACATTTGGGTGTTTCTGGTCTTAAAGAGTTAACTTGTATCTGAAGGGAGAAAAATCGATTTAAGTCTTTTCCAAGAGTGTTAATGCTGTTGTGAAGGTAAAAGACTGAAGCAGAACTTGAACTTGGTTCTTCATTTCCACTAACTCTGCCCTGAACAATTAGTCCATCTCATTTAGTTAATTACTATACTCTGTTTCATGCAAACATCATGTACCCAAATGCTATGCTCAAAAAGTTCAACTAATTACTTACTTGCATATTAAGATGGTACATTCTCCCACCACCAACAAAATGTCAACTTTCACTGATATAATTTTAGGATGTTACAAAATATTTGATTTGGGTTAATAAGTGTGGGTATGATATCAGGTACTGAGAAATGGATTTATCTAAAATATGCATTAACTTTCCAAACTGCCCGTATGGGTCATTGACTTAAATGTGTTGATGTTGGTTTAGGCTGTTTCAGCTGTCTGCTTTATTGCATGTGCTAAACATGACTCCACAGGTGTTTTGAACAGCAGAAACATAAACAGTGTCTGATGAGACATAAATTGCTAAAAACTATGAAAAGGTCCTTGAAAAAGGATATATATATATATATATATACATGTATATGATATTGGTAGCTTAAAAACAGTATGGAAGGGATTTGGAAAAAGATATCTTTTTTTAAATGTTCACAAATTGCAGCTGTTTGTTTTGACACTAAGTTTGGTTAGGCATGGGAAAGATGTAAATTATAAGATGCATTTTATTTCTAGGTTGAACTTTATGTGAAGCACATTTGAATAGAAAGATGAGAAATCTGAAACTCTATGCAAGACAAACAGAAAAAAATAATGGATAAAGAAAATAGGAAAAAAAAGGGAAATTCAAGAGGAGGAGAGTAAGAAAGGAAGAAAACCTGAAAGAGCAGAGAGAGAGATAAATATGGTTGTGATAGTGAGAAAGAGAGAAAATTATATTTAAAAAGAAAAATAATAATTTCACCCCAAGGAAAGCAATAAACCACTAAGATACAATGGATTACTGAGTGTTAGAGAATATGAGAAAAACTACTACTAAGAAGAGAGGATGATAAAAAAAAACCAAGAATTAAGAAGACAGAAGATAAGGACTGACATTGCAGTTCAATCTTTGAAGAGTAAAGTTGACTGGTAATCTTGAAGTATTTAGTATTTACTAAATCGACACATCCAGGAGGCACAGTTATGGATAGCAGCTCAGATTGAGGAATCGGAGAGCTGAGTTCAAATTCCAGTCGAATCCATTACATTCACTTATGTACTAATACCCTTGGGAAAGGTATGAATATTATTCTTCTCTCCCCCAGCTATGGGTAAATAGCAGGACAGACTGGGTTCTATAGCCTTGGATGGCAACTAGTCTACTGCATAAAGAAATGGTAAACTACTGCAGGAAAAAATCTGCCTTGTCAGCCATGTATTGAAAGATACATGATTGCCAGAACATGTATCACGCATGGCACATAACTAACTGAAATTGACATCCTTAATTTTTAAATTTATTGTGATGGGCAAAGGTACCCCTAGCACAAACTATCCTCTTTTATCTCCATTTCTAATTTTTTTTATAATCATCTACACAAGTTCATCCCAAGCAAGGCAATAAAGCCACTAAGATGCAAGGGGTTACTGACTGTGAAAGTATAAGAAAAAAGAAAACATTATTAAAGAGTGCGAATATTAAAAGAACAAGACTTAAGAAGACAGAAGATAAACATTGACATTGATTAAATTTTTGAAGATCAAACATGACTGGGAAGCAAGAAGCCAGAAGAGATTTCCACAAGTGAGAAGTGCAAAAGAAGGTATGGCTTCAAGAACACCAAAACGCTGTAACACGAGGGGAAGTGGAAAAATCAGGTGTGGCTGACCACATATGGAGAGAAAAGAGAAATCACCATCCTCTGTGGGATCAGGTTGAGAT